GTTTTTCCAATCCAGGAAATTCTGTGATTCTCCAGGCTCTATAGAGAACCTTGGTCTTTTCTGCCCTGTGAGGCTCCAGACTTCCCTGGCAATAATTAAGTCATTGCAATAGCCTCATGTCAGATCTGCAGGCTGGAAAATAATTAACGCATAAGCAGAATGCAGACACTAAAGATGAGAAAAAGACACTTCAGTTTGCTCTTAACAGCGCTCTTGCACGTCAAGGTTTCATTGCTTTTTCTCCCTGAGCTCTCTCCACGTGTCTGTGTTCCACTGAAGCAGGAAAACGAGAACTGCAGTGAATTTTACAATATGTTTACATTATAACCAGGTTTATAGAGGCATCGTAATTCATCGTGTGTTCCAGCAGAAGTATGGATCTCTTCCAATTTAATTTTCTGAAGTTCGTGTTTGCAGCTGGGTCACTCCTGGTGTAATCTGGGAGATACATCTCCTAAGGCTGTAGGTTTGGAAGAGCAACATCCCAGCTGTCACCACCACCCATCAGTTACCACGCCGGGGGCTGAGGGCAAAGCATCCGAATCGCTTTCTGTGGGGGCAGCAGCAGCGTAGCTAGCTTCATAAATTCTGTTGCAAGGAGCAATAATCAATACTTCACGGTTAATGATGCAAAACTGAAATTAGTATAGATTTTATGTCTCCTTCTCTCCCCAATTATGCAAACATTGCTATTCCCCTTCTGTAGTTGCCTTATATTATGGCTTTAATAAAGACTGTCTGGTGCTGTTTAATTGAAAGACTGAATAGTCAAAAATGTCACAACCAATTTTGCTTTTTCCTTTTTTTTGTTGGGTTTTTTTTTTTTGTTCAGTCTTCACCCTGAGGTTAATAGAAAATGATGTCAAACACAAGAAATGATTTATGTATGTCATGCAGGTTTTGTCACCCAGAGCTATATATAAAGTCAATTGCAAATTGTTTTCACATTCTAAATTACTGTACGTAGCTCTGGGGTATGCTGGAAAAAAAAAATGACCGGTGGAATACTATGGGAGAAGAAAAGGTTATCTTCTGAACTGAACTGCTCTATGCTTCAAAGAAAACAATTTGGAAGTTCCTTGTTTTTGATATACCAGAAGAGGATGTTTGCTAGAGCAGGCCAAAAAAAAAAAGGAAGGCAAAAATAAAAAGTTTCACAACTGGATCATTTCCATGTGGTGCTTTATCAGTGTGTCCACAGATGGTGCTACGATTAGAGACCTAGAAGGGCAAAGACCAGGGAAACCTCTAACCTGTCATCTTGACAAATCTAGTTTATGCATAAAACATGTTTTGCAGTAATAGTCACAGAATCACAGAGGTTGGAAAAGACCTTTAAGATCATCGAGTCCAACCATAAACCCAACACAGCCAATTCCACCTCTAAACCATGTCCCTCAGCACCTTGTCTACCTGTCTGTTAAATCCCACCGGGGAAGGTGACTCCACCACCTCCCTGGGCAGCCTTTTCCAACGCTTGATGACCCTTTTGGTGAAGAATTTTTTCCTCAGATCCAATCTGAACCTCCCCTGGTGCAACTTGAGTCCATTTCCTCTTGTTCTATCAAGTCCTTCCAAGGCTGGGAGGAAATTCAAGCTGTATTAGGAGTAACTCAGCTACCACCTGTGATCTTGTTTCATGTCAAACAGGGTAGAATTTTGTACAGGATTAAAAAGCACCACGTAAAATTTGTGTTTCACACAATTGGCTTTATTTGGGAAAGCAGAAGCTCGAGCTGGCTGATGTGTTGTGCTCCTGGAGATTGCAACAGTCTTATTGGAAACAAAAATCTTTGATTTGTTCCCAGGTCAGATAAGATACACAAGATAAAAAAAGCCTTGGTTTGCCTTTTTAATGTTTTTAGTCTTCCTGGGAATCCTGTATCTGTATGTAAGGTAGGTGGGAATCACTCTCCTCCTCACTCCAAGAAGATTTTGCTTTTACATTTGATTTCCAACTTAAGGAGCTAAAAGAAGTCCTGAGTTAATATTTGGTATTTTGCATAGATTTCTCATTTTCCTGTGTTGTTTAATTATCAAGGAGTTGATGTATCAACGCAAACCTGAAGGCACATCCCTGTGTTTCAGGATGGTGATGCTCTTTGCGTTGTCACAAGGATGCAGTGGGGGGTTCAGCCTTGTCAGCCCAGTTTTTAAGGAGACTGGGTGTGTATGTTCTGTGTCCCAGTGATTCCCGGGCACTCTGTGGGATTGTGCCCTCTGAGGGGATGGAAAGCTCAACCCATTGCATCCCCTGCATGCACATGCTTCATTGTGACCAGGTTCTCCTCCACCCCTCAATCCCACCCCTTCTGAAGAATAAAATCCTGCCAGCCAGGTACGATTTAGTTTTTTGAGCCAAATCTCTGTGCTGAACATCATGGGTAGGTTTTTTCCCAGGACTTTAGCACGGATGCAGGGAACCCCAGCTATGTATCTGCAGTTAAATTTGTGCCATCTCTGCTATCGACACAGGATCTGATGCAAATACCCTGGTAAAGGCATGGGGCTGTAAATCTCAGTCAGTGACCTTCTTAATTACGAGTCTGAATACTGTTTGATTGCAGAACAAAGAGAAGTGCCTGATGGTACGAGCTGATGCTCACTTGCCTCTTACCGAGACCATCTCCTCTGAAATTAAAGCAGCCACACACCTAAGACATGAAAAAATACTTTCCTCTCTTGCTCTGCATATTATTTTTGTAGGTCTGATATTTGCTTTCAAACTTCTGTGCTGGGTATATTGATAAATAGATTGGTTTCTTTATAGTTATTTTGGATATTTAAATTTGAAAGCAACCCTGTAGACATTGCCCCAAGGACCAGTTTGCCTAGTGGGTGGTTCACAACGTCTTGAGGTTGAGGTGGAATCTCCAACATCAACCAAGGGCTTCCTGTAAGCACATTGAAATGTTTTTTCTTTCCTTCTAGGAAGAGCTCAGAAGGCTCCAGCACACCTTGGAACAGGTCAATGATGGCAAAGACTTGCTTCAAAGGTAAGTGTGGCATTTCTGCTGTATCTCCCACTTGGTAAAGTGAAATGGCCTTTTATAAGACAACAAGCCTTTTCTGGGGGACAGTCTCTTTGTTGTAGATTATGATTCTCACTTGGTAATATACTAAAAATTCAAGATTTTGCATGTCTCCCATAAACAATTCTTATTTTTAGTTACAGGAGGATAATTTCTGCAAACTGCTGCTGATTGAATGATGTAATTAAGTGGCCAGTAAAGTCTCAAAATAACTCCACAGGTTGGGGTCTAATCTTACAAATTTTCATGCAAAGACCTTTCATTCATGTTGCTGGTCCCATCCGAAGCAGTGTCCCAAGATGTTTGATTTTTATCTTCTAGCATTTTCAAATGCCTTTCTCAAAATGATTGGTTTGCAGCACCAATTCCTTGATCATCATTTATGATAAAGAATTTTGTCTTCGTGTTCCTGTATGGCTTTTGCTGATGGAATTCATTTGCTATTGGCATTACAATTGTTACTTTCTGGTTTACTCTCCAGCTTTTCAAATATAGCCCCAGGGATGAAAGTTAATTTAGCAAGAATATCTATTATATTTGCCAGTGCTTTTTTTATTTGCAGTGGCTTCTTTGCTGGGTGTGCCTGTCTCTGGAGCTGTGGCATCTGCAAGGTTGAGTGTAAGGACTCAGGAAAGCTCCAAGCTGGAAAAAAAATTGGTATTTTTTTGTTACCAGTCAAATGGGGCTGGAAATGGGAATGTAGATGCCTTCCTCCAAAGACACCAACACCTTATAATAAGCAGCTCTTGTATGTTCTTGTCAAAATTTTGGAATTAATTCACAGTGATTGCAAAAGCATCATTCTGAGACACATTAAACCCATTTCCTTTTCTTTTCCGTAGCCATCAGCTTGGCATGGATGAAGAAAATAATATTGAAAAATATCGTATCAACTTACAGCCCTTGGAATCAAAAGTGAAAATGTAAGTAATGAAGATACTAGATATTAGATATTAGGAAGAAGTTCTTCTCTGTGAGGGTGGTGAGACACTGGAACAGGTTGCCCAAGGAAGTTGTAGATGCCCCCTCCCTGGAAGTGTTCAAGGTCAGGTTGGATGAGGCTTTGAGCAACCTGATCTAGTGGAAGGTGTCCCTGCTGATGGCAGGGGGGTTGGAACTGGATGAGCTTGAAGGTCCCTTCCAATCCAAACCATTCTATGATTCTATCATAAGAATATTGTTTCTGCTTTTAAATGCAGCTGAGTTTGTTCGATTCCCCAATGACAGAACTCAGACTGTATCCATTGTGGATTTGTCTATAAATTTAAGTATCAAAAATCCTAAATTTCACAAGGAAGCTAAGCTCTTCTCTACCTTTAAGCACATGAAGATACTCTTAGAATGGAGTTTCCAAGGCTAAACTTCATTGTCGCACTAATTTTATCATTTCCTCTGTGAAACTAGAGAATATTTGAAAATCTGATAGATTTTTCATCTATAAAGAGAACATTCTGGTAGGGGGAAGTATAGTACAGAGCAAGCAGAAGTCTCTTCAGTGGTATTTTTCACATCTAACACGATGAAGGTCCTCAAGCAGCTCAAGGGAGTCCTCTGCAAGGAGCAGTCCTGGGGTTTGCATGGGAATGGAGCTGGAAGCCTGAGGGCAGCAGGGCTCCTGGGCTGGGGGTGCAGCACAGCTCTGTGGCACTAAGAAAGTTGGTTTTACTGAAAAGCTCAGCAGTTGCTCATGCTCAGCCAAGGCACAGAGATGACACCTAGCTGCGCCACCTGGAAAAGAGGGAGAAGCATAGAATGGTTTGGGTTGGAAGGGACCTTCAAGCTCATCCAGTCCCAACCCCCCTGCCAGCAGCAGGGACACCTTCCACTAGACCAGGTTGCTCAAAGCCTCATCCAACCTGGCCTTGAACACTTCCAGGGAGGAGCAGCCACAGCTTCTCTGGGCAACATGAGCCAGCGTCTCACCACCCTCACACCAAAGAATTTCTTCCTCACATCTCATCTCATCTCCCCTCTGCCACTTTCAAGCCATCACCCCTTGTCCTGTCACTCCCTGCCCTTGGCCAAAGTCCCTCCCCACCTTCCTGGAGCCCCTTCAGGTACTGGGAGGCCACAAGAAGGTCTCCCCAGAGCCTTCTCTTCTCCAGGCTGAACAGCCCCAACTCTCTCAGCCTGTCCTCACAGCAGAGCTGCTCCAGCCCTCGCATCATCCTCGTGGCCTTCTCTGCACTGGCTCCAGTAGCTCCATGTCCTTCTACTGTTGGTGGTCCCAGCACTGGAGGCAGCACTGCAGGTGGGGTCTCAGGAGAGCAGAGCAGAGAGAGACAATCACCTCCACATGCCTCCACTTGCATCAAAAAGCTGAACATCTTTATGCTGAAGCCCCCAGTTACTTCATGGTCAAATTCTGTGACCCCAGCCATGGGGTGTAGCTTTCAGCAGAGCTATTTGCATTGTTAGATTACATCTTGAATTTCCCTTCCAGTGGAAAAGCTACAGCTGACTCGTTATACAGGACATTAAAATATTAATGCTCTATTAAAATATTAAAAGGACGTGAAGTTTCAAATTAAAATCCAGCCAGCGTCTTTTAGTCATGCAAAGAGAAGCCAGATGAAAGAATAAATTTTCAGAGAGCTTTCTAGAAGGGTAGTTATCACTTAACCTCGGTCTGTTCTTAAGCTTTAAAGTAGAAAGTGCATGTAAATATAAATATGTAAATACTACTTGCATATATTATGCAGTAAAGCTTGAAAATGAGACAGTGGAAAGTGTGAATTCTTGAAAGCTCCTCATGTTTGGGAGCTTTGGTAGATGTTTCTGTCCATTTTTAAGGTGTTGTATGAAAACAACACAGGATTAACCTACCTGACCATCTTTGGAGTGCACCTACCCTGGTGAGGCTGTCGTGAGTGCTGCTTTGTTTCTGATCTGGTAGTCTTCTAAAAAACCAAAAATACATGTGTTTCATCTCCTCAACCTTGAGTTGTTGAAAATACCATGTGTGTTGGGAGCGTTGTTCCCTGACCAGGAAAAATTACACTTCCCATTGTCTGGAGTTCCCAGCACTAGAGGTAATCAATGGGGAGTTGTAGGTGTCCTGGTGTTGAGCTTCATCTTCCTCCTGCAGAGCTAAGAAGTTGGACATGCCAGTCTGTAATCAACACTCTGTCTTAATGCCATTTCTATTGCAGACACAATTTTAATCCCCAGCATCTCTCACATCCCCAGCATCTCTCTCTCACTGGCCTCTGGTCGGAAAGGCGCAGGCGATCCAGCACTGCCACCTGGTGAGAGCCACCCCAGCCACTATCCAACACAGAAACTGGATTTTTTTCCCCCAGAATTTCACATCAGATTTTAAAAACTGGGTCAAATTTTAGAGTTTGGAAGCAGAACTCCTACTGCAATCCCCACATCTTGCTTGGGAGGAGGTTTTAAGTCCCCAGCTACCCAAGACAGAGGAGATTTATAAGGATACAGGTCTGGCTCTGAACTTTCAACTCTGTCCGCACTATAATCTGAAAGCTGATGTTGAAGGTTGTTCATACTTTTAAACAGATAATTTCATCTTTTTATTTGGTTTTCAAGATGTGAGAGAATTGCTGAGTTACATACAGTCTCAAATTTAAATCGCTTCTGTTAGGTTTAGGGATTTCATAGAATCACAGAATCATTAAGGTCGGAAAAGACCTCTAAGGTTATCAAGTCCAACCATCAACCCAACACCATTTTATCTGAAATAAAGAATTACTTCTGCTTAACAGACACCTCAAGTTATACCAGTTGTGGTTAATATAAGACCCACAGAGGGTTGTTATCATAGAACCATTGAATGTTGTGAGTTGGGAAGAACCCACAAGGATGATGGAGTCCAACTCCTGTCCCTGCACAGGACAAGCCCAACATTCACACCATGTCCCTGAGGGCCTTGGCCAAATGCTGCTGGAATCTTGTCAGGCTTGGTGCCATCAGCACCTCCCTGGGGAGCCTGTTCCAGTGCTCCACCACCCTCTGCCTCAAGAACCTTTTCCCCATGGCCAACCTCACCCTCCCCTGGCACATCTTCTAAGTGTGATCATTATCCAAATTGGAAAACAAAGTGCACAAAACAAAGAGTAAACCACCAAACTCCACCTATTCAGCCAAGAATATACATTTTAAATCCTTTTTGTTGCTGTATTCTGCCCTAACCCCGTGCCTTGGTGTTTGCCTCAGCATCCAGCGAGCATGGCGTGAGTACCTGCAGCGCCAGGACCTGTCGCACCATGAGCAGCTGGACAAGCGCAGTCCCTCCCCACCATCCCTCTCCTCTGATAAGATGAGTAGATCCATCAGCATGAACACCTTTTCTGACAGCAGCACACCGGTGAGTAGAGCATTGGAGCCCATTTCTCTATTTGTTGGGTTTTGTTGGGTTCCTTATTAGGACTTTGGATAAATGAAAGCTAAATTATGGGCTAATCATGAAAAAGGGGTTTTTAGGGGAGTAGTAGTAGAGTGTCTTGAAGGAACCTGCAAGGAGATGTGCTTCTTGTGAGTTTAGTTGAATGTGTGACTACACATGTTGGATATGGATCTCAGTAATATTGTGTGTTGGGTGCAGCAGGTATTAGCAGTGCTCTTGATGGGAAAAGGTGTTTCCAAATGGTGATGTGTTCTTCTGCAGAAAGCAGGGATCATCATATGTGGTTAGCACTTTGTGTTCTCCAAAAAATACCCAGTGTGGTGCTTTTCCTACAAGTACACATGGTTTGTAGTTTGGTGTTTGGTTTTGTTTTGTTTTTTTTTTTTTCTACCCTAAAAGAGACTTAGAGGAGTTGATCTAAGGATTAAAAATTAAACTTGATTTTGGAAGAAATACTCACATCACCTTGCAGGCTGGGTGCCTGGCAGCTGGAGGCTGTACTTGTCTTTTTAAGGTGACTCTAAACTAGAAACCCAAACGTAGAGCCCATTTTTTTTGCAAACAGGTGGCTTTGTAACTGTCTCTGGAGTGGGATCTTTTAGGTCAATACATCAGCAGACAGACATAGCGCCTATCAACATTGCTTTCAGCTTGGTGGCAGAATACATCAGTTCTGTGGAAACTAGACTAGAGCATGAAATAATTCATTAGTTTTTTTAAAAAATACAAGAGATGATAGATAGAAATTGTCATGGTGTGTGTTAGACCAGCTAAATAAAAACAGGATGTGTGCAGGGTAGGTGTGAATGGGTTGTGTGGATCCTTGCTAGGAGTGCACGTTGCTCAGCTGTCGGAAGTTCTGTTGCCGGTTGCAGGATCACATTTGGTGGATTCTGAGTTCATTCAAAAATTTAGAAATCGTTGCTAATGGGGTTCTGAAAGTAGATGGAGCCCCTGTGCAAGGAAGAGACGTTTGTTAGTTTAATTCTGCCTGCAGTTGAAGTTGGAGCAATGTCACCTCATGTGAAGCACAAGGCAGGCTCACAGATCCAACAGAGCTTTTCTGTGCTAAGAACTCTCGTCTTGGACTTACAGGGACAATCTGACTCTTTCCTCCTTTGAACCAGGCTCAAGCTGAAACTAGGTAAGCTGTTTCCAGCAGCTATTATTTTTGTGACACCATGGTTAGGCAGACTGCATTCAATTTGACAGCATTTAATAAAATATTACTGAGAGTACACTGGTTTATTTTTAGATGCCTTGTGTTTGGAGCTGGAGACCAGGATGATAAACCAGGTTGCAATATAGGGTTGCACACTAATTAAAACGAGTGTATGAAAACGAGTTGGCTTCCTTTAATGAGAGATATAAATTTGGATCTCGTTTTTATCTGCCACTGGCATTTGTGGGATCCCAGCTGAGATACAGGAGCGCTGAGCCAGCCGTTTGCCTTCCACAAGAGGTCCCTCGTACCCTGCACAGAGAGGCTCCGGCATGTTCTTGGAGCTCTCCTTCAGTAACCTCATTTGGAAAATGATACATTCTCAATGCTTTTTGGGGTCTTTGGGGGTAAAATTCTTACATCTGGGAGTTATATATTTGGGGGAAAATGAAGCTTGGATATGAGAATTGTTACTTAGTTTGGATTAATGCAACACCCACTCATGTCACTTCTGCATCCTACTTGTCTAATGCAAAGGAAAAGCTCATTTCTTTACAGTTTTCTAGTGCCAAGTGTGTCAATAACCTTTGAAAAATCAGAGGTTTTTCTGAAAAAAGGCAAAGGAACCCCTATCTATTTAGTGTGTCCTTGATTATTGCAATAACTGAGGCTGTGAGAGACCCACACTTGTAAGGGTGGGATGGTCCTCAACTCTGGGATGAGGCACTGTGACTCCAGGCAGTGACTCTGCTGCACTGGTTTTTATGTGGATTTGACTCTGACCCATAATTAACAATGTTCCATCTGAAACAAGAACAAATCCTCTTTTCTTTTCATTCAACTTTCTTCTTTCTCATAAATGGCACCGGCCAGTCCTAGGACTGATCAGATTGTTGTAATTGGAGCATCTCTACCATCTTCAGTTGCTTTTGTTTCCTTTTGCATGTTTATTTTTAATAAAAAAAAATGAGGAGCAAGACAAATAATTGATTTGAGACTAATGTCTTCCTTACAAATACTTTATTTCGTGTAGAAAGGCGGCAAAACTTACCTTCCTATGTAGCATTTGACTGAGTTTTTGCTTTTATCCCAAGAAATAAACAACTGTTTCTACAGTTACTAAGAAAAGATAATGCCAGATACGTCCCACAAGCATGTGGTTGTGGTTATGACCTATTTTCATGATGACATCATTGTGTCTCTTTAAATGGTTCAGTTGCAAAGACACAATCTGTGAAAGCCACAGAAAACCTGATAATCCTCAACAGACAAGCAAAAGCTGGTGCGAGACACGCTTGCATCCAGAGTTCTTGTAGAATTGCAGTGAGATCTTGATTTTTTTATTTTTTTTACTTTAATCTGAAACATTGGCATGGAAACACAATTAATTTGTTCCTCTCTGGGCAGAAGTGGCTTCCGTTGTATGTGATTTGAAATTCCATGGCCGGGAGGATGGGTTTCCCCCAGCAACCAACTCCTGTCAGGCTAGAGCTTCCAAGCAGAGAATGATCAATTCTCTCCCCACCTCGTGGTCTGCTCTGAGCTGGGGGCCCATCAGCACCGCGGACAGCGGTACCGCCCCGGGCCGTTCAGCACCGCGGACAGCGGCAGGCCCGGTCCCACCAGCCGGGTTGGGCACTCGCTGCTTCTACTGGGGTTCTTCCTCTGACCATTTCACCCCTGGCCAGGCATACTGGTATGGTGGTTTCACTTGGCTATCAGCCAAACACAACCACTCGTTCACTCTCCAACTCCCCATCCCAGGGAATGAGGGAGAGAATTGGAGGGGTGAGGGAATGGAGAGTCGTAGGTTGAGATAAAAACAATTTAATGATTGGAATAAAATGAAACTTAAAATGAAAATGATAATAATAATGGTAATAATAGTAATAATAAAATACCCAGTGCAGCTGCTCACCACCCTCTGACCAAGCCCAGCTGGTTCTCAAGAGTCTGAGCAAAAGCCGACCAAGCCCAGCTGGTTCTCAAGTCGCCTGAGCAAAAGCGACCCTCATTAATATATTGAACATGATGTCATGATATGGAGTATCCCATTGGCATATAATAATGCCAGTTTCGCTTACTAATTTAAATATTCTTTGCCCCTCCCACCCCAGACCTTGCACAAGCAGACTGGCACTGACAGTGCTAGTGACAATTGTCAATTTCAGTGACAATTGAAAACATTAGTATAATATCAACATTGTTTTCCTAACAAATCCCAGCTGAACCCAAACCCCAGCACTGTTCTAGCTGCTAAAAAGAAACCAGCTCTGTCTAGGCTAAAAACCAGGACAACTGACAAAGCATGTGTTTTTTCTGCCAACAATATTTCTTCTGATGTTCACAAGGATGGTAATAACTGATTCTGTAGAATGATCAGTTTTTACTTGAGTGCAGTACTGCTTTCTCCCAAGAAATAGTCATTAGAGCTACAAACATGTGAAACATGCTTTTCCAAATGTGACCATATGGTTATTTTTCTACCCTTTCTCCACTGATTGATGTTGCAGAAAGTAATTTCCAAGGTCTTGCCCTGTTCCCTCAAGCTGGATTAGCTGCAAATACAACATAAACCGAATCCACACTGAAGGGCAAATTCCTATTTTGTTTCAGAGGTTACTAATAAAAGGCATGTTACTCTAATGAAGGGGGGCTACAGGAAGGGTGGGGGGGAATTTGGCCAAGGGCAGGGAGTGACAGAACAAGGGGTGATGGCTTGAAAGTGGCAGAGGGGAGATGGAGCTGAGATGTGAGGAAGAAATTCTTTGGTGTGAGGGTGGTGAGACAGTGTCCCAGGTTGGCCAGAGAAGCTGTGGCTGCTCCTCCCTGGAAGTGTTGAAGGCCAGGTTGGATGAGGCTTTGAGCAACCTGGTCTAGTGGAAGGTGTCCCTGCTGCTGACAGGGGGGTTGGGACTGGATGAGCTTTAAGGTCCCTTCCAACTCAAGCCAGTCTGTGATTTTATGAAGGTAAATACAGTGTCGAGTACCTGATATTAATTCTCTAAGGTTCAGGACAAGGACAATGAGCACAAACTGAAAGACAAGATGCTCTGTCTGAACATCAGGAAATACTTTTTTTATGGTGAGGGTGACCGAGTTCTGGCACAAATGTCCCAGAGAGACTGTGGAGTCTCCATCCTTGGACATATTCAAAAGCCATCTGGACATGGTCCTGGGCAAACTACTCTAGGTGGCCCTGCTTGAGCAAGGGGGTTGGACCAGATAACCTCTAGAGGTGCCTTCCAACCTCAGATGTTCTGTGATTTTATGAAGTAGTAAGCAGGAATTGAATTAAATCAAAGATAATGCAGACAACTGCAAAGAAAGGTTTGCAGCTCATTCTGTTCATAATGAAGCCTCTTATCTGACTGGAGTTCTTATCTCGTAGCTTGGGGAATCTGGGCTGCAATATAAAAATGTAATTAGTAAGAATTAGCATATAATTTACTAAGTTTGCTGTTGAGGAGTTGAGGGATCCTTTATAAAGTAGCAAAATAAAAAGATGGAAGTTGTTTTTTGTGTATATACTTTACTAGTGGTGCGTGCAGAGCTTCAAGAACTTCCACCACTTCTCCTGCGTATATATAATTTTCTCTACTACAAATTTGAGCCAGTAACCTTTAAATGCAGATTCACCACTAAAATCCATAACTACGTACTGTGGGCAGGAATTGAAGTGACTATTTTTCATTAAATCATCCCATTTCCAATGTGCAAGAACTCATCGTGTGTGGGCGGGTATCTCTCCAGAAAATCAACAGTTCAGAACATTTTCTTCATAACTCACAAACTTCTGGAAATGGAACAAAGAAAAAAAAAAATAAATAAA